AGAATGAATGGTAAACAGAATGCAGCTCTTGATAGCTGAGGTTCACCCAGATGCAGAGAACCATAAAGGGGCGAACAGAGGCAGCTGTAATTAGGGACTAATTCCTAGGGTTCGCAGACTTGGGCTGCAGTCTCACTCCCAGGACTGGCAGGTCAGGTTCATTTAGATTTGCATTGCTAGCAGGAGCCACCCTGGCTGTGTGTGTGACAGTCACTCCCTTCTTTCCTTCTGCCTGAAGACAGCAACAATCCTCCTTTCCAGGCTCCCTCACAGGTAAGGTGAGTGGGCCATGCCTATGGGGGTAGCTAATGCGACGACGTGACGCTGGTGCCCACCCCTAAACTCGCAGTCCCTAATCACTGCACACTCACAGACATCTGCAATTGAATACCGATCACCCCAGACTCCTAAGCTATGGCTGACAAGGGCTAAATTATCCCGGCCCTTCGCTCAGCCCACTCCAGTGCTCTCTCAGGGCTGTAATTCAATGTGATGGGATCAGTCAGGGAAAAGCACTGGTTTGAGTAGACGAATTCTGGCGGTCACAATCAGCACCAGCCCTCAGAGTGGACGCAGGAGTGTCTCAGAGAGGCGAGGTTGGCACCTTTTGTTGAAGCTTCAGAAAAGGTTGAAATTAAATTTTAGGTGTCTAGAAAGAGGTATAAAAATACTTGCACTAGAGTTCAGGTAAAGAGGTAGAACTGGCTCTGTCCCCGTGGGCGGGTCCCAGGCTCAAGGACTGAGAACACACGGGACGCCCTGAAGGAGGAACAGCTCCGTGACCTAGAAAAGGCATGTGACCTTCTGAGAACACACCCTGTCAGGCCTGTAGCCCTGCCACAACATCTCTGATGTATTTCCCTCTGGGCCCCCAGAGTCCTTACCACAAATCTGCCTGGAAATAAAGCCCCTCAGGAAGTTTTCTCCTAAGTCCCTTTCTGCTCTTCACACTTGGCAGCCAATAATCAGGTGCAGAAGCCCCTGGATGTCATGAGGCAAGTCATTAAAGCAACCTCCGCCCATTGGAGAAAGGTTCAGTGCATCAGAGGGGCATGGACCCAGAGGGGGTTCTCATCCCTACTGAAAATTAACATGGAAAGGGAAGAATCGCATGTGCACGGTGCTATATGCGCTGCTTGTGTCATGGGTTACCCAAAGTCGAGGGAGGTGTAGCGTCAAAACTTTCTGAAAACCTCACAGCAAACAGCGCTCTTGTCATGACTGCCTTGCCGTGCTGTGTGGGCAGAACCACAGAGCAGTCACTGGTCCCTGGCCTCCCGTGGAAACTCTCCTTCTTCTTGGGCTCTTGAGAATAGGGCTTGCAAAGGGCACTGCACGGAATACCAGCCTCGAGATGATCAAAAGCATCAAAACTAATTCTGTCCCATGGGACGCTAACTTTGGGAAATATTCCAGATTACATTCCTTGTTGAGTCATATTTCACATATGAAAACGCCTGAGTCTGCAGTAGAAGCATTATCACCACCAGGCAAAACAACACAAATGAATTCATGTTTACTGAGTCCACGTTTTCTAAATACTACTGTCCAAGGGCTGTCATGCTAAGGTTCCACAAACCAGATGGTGTCACACAAGAGAAATTCATTTTCTTCCAGTTCTGGGAGGTGGAAGTCCAAAATCAAGGGGTCGGCAGGCCATGCTCGTTCTCAAGGCCCTAGGGGAGGAGCTTCTATGCCTCTTCCTAGCTTCTGGAAATGGCCAACGGCCCTGTGCTTCCATCGCTACATCATATTACCCTTGTGGGCCTGGGTTCTCATTTTTCTCTCCTTATAAGGGACCACACATTAAACTAGGGACCCTTCCCAAATCTTCTATAACTTTGTCTTAACTTGATTACATCTGCCAAGACCCTATTTCCAAAATAAAGTCACTTTCATAGGTTCTGGGTTAGAGTTTAACATATCCTTTATTTATTTATTTTTGAGAGGTTTTTGCTATAAGGCACATGTGCTCGCCAGAAAGACAGAGAGAGACAGAGAGATAGAAAGTGAGAAATCACCCCCCCCACACACTGGGGGGATGGCAGTGCCGCAATCCCTTCTCCTCCATTCTCCTCTCAGGATCTTAGGCATGCATGCACACGCACCCGGTGTGAGTTTAAGCCACCAGGTCCAGGAATCGAACTGCGGTCGGCTACATGGGAGTTCAGCGACAAAGCCATTACGCTAACTGCTGGTTCCAGAGTTTAACATATCTTTTTGAGGAATATAATTCATCCCAAAATACCCAGCATATTTGAACTTTCATTAGTGCATCAGCCAAAGTGTCTGATGGCTACACATAGAACACTTCTTTAAAAGTGCTTTCCTAGAACTACAGGATGCAATGCCTCATCGCTATTTCTGGGACAGACCAGCGTGAAAGGCAACACGCATAAAGCAAGTGTGTACTTTGTACTTGCTCTAGAAACCATGGAGCAACTACGGGCCCTGGGCTGGGGCTGAGAGGGATCTGGAGGTGAGCATGGGAAGGTTTCTGCCTTCAGGAAATCAATAGGATTTGGATAGGAGCCCTTCCTTCTCAGATTAGGTAGAGGCGAAGTGCTCTAGGAGAATTAGAAGGGACCACAAAGAGCTGGATTCCACAAAGAAGAGGAACAAAGCAAGTGGGCTGAGGAACAGTGTGAGCAAAGGACAGAAGCAAGAAAGCTGTTACAGGTTGTCATCTGCGGTCTATGACACCCTGGCATAAGGCGAAGGGCAGGTCCAAGGCACACAGTGCATTCCCTTCATCCCAATGACCCCAACCCCCGTGGTTCAGCCGAGAGCCCATCCTCACTACTACTGTTTGCCCCTCTCAATTCCCACCTCACAGTCTTCGCTCAGAGTTGCTGAGTCATATAGTGAGAAGCTGAAATTGATCACGCATTCATGGCATGAAAGCCAGGGTGGGGCTGACACTCCCTAGTCAGGTGTAGTATTAAGAACAAAACCACAATCGGAAACTCTCTCAGACGCTAGAGAGTCTCTAGACCTAGAGACTCCCCAACCTTCCCAGCCCCTCCAGGGCCTGGCAAACTGGGGAGAAACAGAGTACTAGTCACCTGCTCTTTCTTCAGTTCCAGGTCAAGATGGAGCTAGGAGTTCACCTGAGGTGTTTGTTACTAGACAATACTGCCTTATGTTTGTCTTTAGGACTAATTCTGTGTCTCAGTGCCTCTCTTACTTTTATGTTTATACACTGCTCTGGAGAGGAATAACCATTCTGCAATCCAAGGCAGTGAGTTCTCAGACCCCAAACAACTTGGAACCAAGCTGCAAGGTGCCACCCTCCTTCTTTCTTGCCAGACTGTAAGTTCTGACGTGAAGACATTGGCTACTTCAGGAACTCTCAGACACACCACTCCGCCAGAAACCATCAAGAAGACAGTAGCTCACGAAGGGATAAAGAAGTTTATGTGATGTCAGGACAAATGTGCTAGCACAAGCCCCAAGCATCTGCTCCCAGTCCCTGTGACGGCGAGTATTTCCAGAGAGCGGGAGGTTATGGACAAGGACAGCAAAGCCTGACCAGCCTTGGGTATCCTCTGGATTCTCATTAATATGGGGCTTTACTGCTCCACACCTTTGCATTAAAGCACATATGGTTCTCCTATAACTGTAAACTTATTACAGACACTTCCAGCACAAGGACGGATTCCAAAACAGTTACGCGTATGTAGATTCCATAGTGTGAATTACTCCCAACATGCATACTTAGGGGTACTGAAATGCATAGTTATTATTCAAAGCAGAGTCCATGTCACCTTCTCTGCTTACGTCTATTTCTCTCCAGTTTACAGGGTCACTGTGCCCATTGTGAATACAACTCTCAATAAGAAACATCCTCTCCGCCTCATCCACTGCCCTTCTGTTTCATGTTGGTTCTAATATGTGAGCAATGCAGTTTGCCCTATGGAGACGGTCCAAAGGACACCGAATCCCAAACCGAAGGCAATGGCAAATGGGACTGGAAATCCATCCCAGAGCTACTGACAATTACCCAGTCTTTAAACGCAGGGTTCCAGCACCACGGACAGCAGCACCCGTGGCTGAGGAAGGCGTGGTTGTGGATAAGCTCCCAATCTCTCTAGCGCTCTAGAGTGTGCTGCTGACACCCTAGGCCTTTCGCTTTGTTGTGTGACATAAGAACTGACCAGAAGGCAAGGACACGTTAGATTTAGGAGACAACATGGCATTTTCCACTTTTTTAGATTATCGCTCTTTTTAGAGAGAGTGCCACAGATGTGGCTGAAGCTTAAACCAGTCTGCACCCTAGACCAGGAACTCAGTTTGATTTCTGACTTTCTCCCTCCATCCCTGCAATAGAGACGATTGGCAATGATTTCACAAATCATACAAAAGGCATCTTCTTAATAGAGAGCAGATATTACTGAAAGTGAATAAGGGAAACTTCAATTTCCTCTAAAAAATTCTGAAATTATCATCCACATTTGCTTACCTCAGAGACCAGAAAACAAATGTGTTAGAGGTATGCTGTCAGGGAAAACAGAACATCATGGGATTGTTTTCCAAAGGAAAATTAATTGGTTATTTCTATTTCAGCTTAGCTGAAGCTGTAAAAATCTAATCAAAAATATTTTTCACAGTGGCATTTCTTCCCAGATATTGAAATACCTCAAACCATAAACCACTTTTTTGTTGTTGTTCATGCTGTTTTTGCTGGGTAAAATGGAATAATTACTTCAAACTTTACTCAAAAGTAAAGCTTCTCTTAATAGACTATAAACACGAACGAGCCAGCTCCCCAGACCCCATCTCTGATACTCGAAGGAAGAAAACATAGCTCTCACAAGCAAACCTGGCCTTCAGTGGTTGGAGTTTCCAGAACCAAGTGCCAAGCAATCAGTACCCAGAAAAGGCCACATAACATTTCAAAGAACAGGCTGTCCGCAGTCTAAGGTTCATTTTAGTTTCAACAAACTACTTCCGAAATGTCAACACTGAGAATAAAATGGGTACGAATGAATTTTCCCTACCTTTTCTTCTTGTGACTTCAAAGCTTCTGGATTCCTGCAAGAAAAGAAAGACTTGGTGTTTTTGAAGAATAATTCATATGTACAGATTCTTGCAAATATCTCACCTCTTGTTAATCACATTCACAAAAAGGTGAACAAACTAGTAAGAACATGACATTCAGAAATATTGGCTCTATACACACACACATCTATAAGTCTAAAAAACTTCTCAATTTTGGGTTAAGACAAAAAAAAATTGTGATTAGTGCAATGTCTAAGGAGCACTGCTGACTGTCAGGGTCTTCCTCATGCAGAACTGCCCTGGTACTAAGTATGAGGAAGACCCTGCTCCAGGTTGATGCTGCCCTCTTTGCCTGGCTATAGGTGCATGTAGGGCCTGGGGACACCATAAATGGATAGAGTCATGTGACCAGCAACAGGGTCTGCTTTGTGATGTCATGGTGAAGGCTACCACTGCACCCATGTGGTCCGTTAGTACCTGGTCACTGGGCAGATCCAACTCATAATATCCAAAGGGTGGGTTCGTATGGGCAATTTGGAGAGCCAGTCCATGTCACTGGACTAAATTAAGCCCTTGAGTTTTTCTAATCCAATTCTATCCTTATTGATGCCTGAATGCAGGGCAATAAGAAAAGTGTTCCAGAAGTTACCCAGATAAAACAGTCAAGTAAAACAGAGTCCCTGCATTGACATTCAGAGTTGAACAGGAAGTTACAGAATAAACATGAATTACTGAGAAATCAAAGGGTTATTTACCTTGGTAAATAACAGTATTTCAAATACAGTTGGAAACCTAAGGGAACACTTTTTTAAATAATGTATTATTACTAGTTTAATTTGTTATAGGGAATGTGCATTCACCAGAGACAGAGAGAGAGAGAGGGAGAAAGCAAGCAGTCAGGTCCAGGACCTGAACTATGGTTGGTCATGTGGGAGTATTGCATCATGCAGTATGTTACATCATGCCACCTGCTGGCCCCAAGGAATGTGTTTTTTAAAAAGAAACTTTGAAAATAGCACTGAAGAATGGACAGATTTCCAGACAGGAATGGAGGAGAGTGAGCATGCTAAGAAGAGAGAATTTTTAAAAGGTAGGGTGGTAGAAGAGTATAGGATACTCAGGAAGAAAGAAAAGTTCCAGTAACAAGTAGAGGTGGGCGGGGAGGGAGGGTGTTAGGAGAGAAGGAAAGACTGGAAAGTATATTGTGTTTTTTTTAAACTAAAAGATTACATGGGACCAGCAGATGGCATAATGGTTACGTTGCTAGACTTCAACGTAGTCAACTATGGTTTGAGTCCTGGACCAGGCAGCATGTGTGTGTGAGTGCCCGCCCAAGATCCGGAGAGAAGAATGGAAGGGAAGGGACTGTGGTTTGGCCATCTTAATTGAGGGGTCAATGGAAGGGAAGGGACTGTGGTGTGGCCATCTTCATTGAGGGGTCATTTCTTGCTTTCTGTCTCTCTGTCCCTCCCTGACTCTCTGGGAATGCAAGAGCTCTATAGCAAAAATTTCTCTTAAAAAAATAATTATCTACAATTCATCATAAATGACCAGTTTAGGATTTAAAAGAATAAGGTTGAAAATAAGTTGAAAATCCACATTATCAACTCAAGAAGAGAAGGAAAAAAACACCAAACTTGTACCGCCTCTTCACCACTGTAACCAAGATCACTAGCACCAGTGCCTTTGAAGCGAACATCATCTTTCACATCTTAGCATTCTTGTCTAGCACCCTCTTGTGGTCAAGAGGGGAAGCAGTATTATAGGAGAAACTGAGGAGGCTCAGAAAAGTCCGTCCCACCCAAACTGCTTTCTCTGTTACTCTCTAATGGCAAAAAGCCTGGTGAAGACCAATGGATGAGTGTAACGTGAAGTATGAAAACCATGGAACACATCATGCACAAAGTAAATCCAGCTCCTCCTCCCAAACTGCTCCTCGGCTCCCTGCTCCAGGGCCTGGTACCTCTATTCCTGAAACTAGCATTTGAAGAACATGAGATATTCATAACCAGCTTTATTATATGAAATTTATAAATTAATGTTGGGAAAGCTGACATCTATATAATGTTACATCTTCTTACTATGGTATTTCTAATAATTCGTTCAAGTCTACTTCTGCTTCTTTCAGGAATATTTTCTAATCTTCCTTGTGTGTATTTTGAATATCTCTTCTTTATATATCTTTTGTTATCATAAATAGAATTTTCTCTCTCAATATATCAGTGGTTTTGAGTGGGATTATCTAATCTTTAGAAGTTGTTTCCATTTCATGTTTTTGGATCATCAGTGGTTTTGTTTATAGAAATGTGTTTTTGGATCATCAGTGGTTTTGTTTATATACATGAAAGCAATTTATTTTTTATATTTATTTTTATTTTTATTGCCAACCACTTGATTAATTTTTTTTTACTATTTATAGTATTTTTTGTTGAGTCTTCTGAGGTTTCCATTAATGTATTTATATTATCCATAAGTAGTGATGTGTTATTTCTTTCCAGTTCCAATACTTCTAATTGCTTTCTCTTGTCTTATTGCTTCAATTAATTCCTCAATCCAATGTCAAATGTTCTGGACATAGTGAGCATCCTTGTATTATTTTTGACTTTAAGTAAAAGTACTTTAGCACTTACCAGTTAAGAAAAATGGTTGCTTTGGTCTGAGATGTATTTATGACATGAATAAAGTCAATTTGATCAAGTTTTTAATATAAATGTATGCTCTAGCTAAAAACAGTTTACCTTCGTATTCATTTATTGACTGTTTCCCTCCACTAGAATGTGAATGGGATGAGGGCAGTGGTCTTCTCACTCATGCATCCTCACTGCTATAATAGAGCAGAAGCTCAGTGCATGTAACTTGAATAAAAATTAAAACCAATATGTATTGAATTTGATCCAGTACTTTGACTGCACTTATGAAGATAACCATATAATTTTTTCACCTTAGCTCTATTGATGTGGTGGCTAATTGCTAAATTCTGTTTGCTATCATTCTGAACATGTTTTTGTACTCATTGGTCCATCATTTTTATACTGATAATCATAAATGAGATTGGTCTACTATGTTTTTCAGGTTTAAATACCAGTTTTATATAATGAATTGGGAAGTTTTCTTTTTACTATACTCAAATTATCTTTTTAAAAATGAGATTATCTGATCTTTAGAGGTTGTTTTCACTTCATTTTTTTGGATATTGATTAAATGGGGGGGGGAGTTCAAGTTTGTTCAAGATCTTATACCTTGGTCAGTGGCCAGCTGGAGTTTGAATATCAAATTATGACTCCAAAGGTTCTGCACATAACAATATTCCATCTTTAAAAGTAAATAACACTGAGACAGCAGATGGCATAATGGTTGAGTGGATGGACTCCCACATGGCTGATCATGATTCAAGTTCTGGATCTGGAGGCTTGAAACTCACACTGGGCACAAGTGCGTGCACAAAATCCCAAGAAGAGAATGGAGAAGGGATTGTGGCATGGCCATCCTTCCCAGGGGGTGATTTCTTGCTTTCTATCTGTCCTTCTCTGTCTCTCCAGTGAGCACACGTGCCCTATAGCAAAAATCTCTCAAATAATAATACTTGGGCCAGTAGGTGGTATGGTAGTTAAGGCAGTAGATCTTACATGGCCGACTCTGTGGCTTGAGTCCTGCACCAGACTGCTTCAAAACACACCAGGCATGTGTACATGCGTACCCAAAATCTCAAGAGGAGAATGGAGGGGGAGGGATTGCAGCCTGTAGGGTGATTGCTCACTTTTACTCTCCTCATGGCAAGCACATGCACCTTATGGCAAAAATCTAATAAGTAAATGAGACTTAGTTCAAAAGGATATTGTGAAAATTAAATGAGATATACTTTCACTTCAAGTTATCAAAGAGTGGGTTATATTAGACTAATCTTTCTGTTAAGAACAATTATAAAAGTTGTATTAAAGCAAAACAAAGTTTGGAAAAGTATCTGACAGCAACAAAGCCATCCCAAAGGAAAGGTCCAATATTTGGAGAGAAGTCTTTTGAAGTAAGCCCCATATTCTCTGCCACATTTTGCTTTTGGGGCATCTGCTGTTTTACATAGAAGTCAAACAAGAAAGTGATATGCTGGAACTTAGAGGAATCTCACTGAGTTGGGAGATAAAAAATAGAGTTTAGAGTTGCCAAAGCAGTCAGAATTTGAGGTTCAAATATCCTTGAGAAGGGAACTAGAAAGAAGTGAGCCCAATATTCTTCATACAGCTTCTGCTTGAGGTATATAATTATGCCTGTGATGCATGTATAAAGTGCAAGAGACAGAGAAACAAGTAAAAAAGAGCCTCAAAGAAGCAGAATATAGCCACAAATTATCCTCAAATACTAAAATATAAGCATAAATTCTGACAATTCCATGATGCTAGATGGAAGAAAGTCAGGCTTTCCAAGAAAGAATGGCTGGGTAAGTGCAACAGATTTTCCATTAAGATCATATTCTCTTAAATAACTTTTGCTTCTGAGTAGATAAATATGTCCCCAGTATTTTATCTAACGAAGAAAAGTAAATCTTATATGAACGATAATTAAAGTGATCCATACGTTTTTTAGTTTTTTTGTTTTGTTTTGTTTTTATTTTTATTATCATCATAATCTTCTTTATATTACATTGGATTACATATAACTTTACAGTGTATTACATTGTGTTTTCAAAAGGGAATGCCATGCATGTCAGTCTTTACAGAGATATTAATCTCCTCGCTTCAACATTCAATACCTTTTCTACGATTTTCCCAATTATTATTATTATTATTTTTATTTTTATTTTTAAAACAGTCAATCACTATTTTTCATTTTGCTTGTAAAAAGACTTTACCCATCATGAAATACTTCTCAGACCAATCTAGTTGAGAATACTATACATGTCATCATCAACAGGTAATAAGCCATATCTGCTTCTCACTAATGTCCTGCCTCTCTATTGTTCTCTTGCTATCTTTCTCTATCCTCTTCTCCTCACCTAGGTTTTTTAGTTTTTAATATATAATCCGTAGCATCCAATCCAAAATTATCAAGCATGGAAGGAAACAGGATCAAATGGCTAACATCTAAGAAAATACACAACAGAAATAGACCCACAGGCTAGCTAGAGTCTAGAAATGTCAAAAGCAAGATTTGGAATAACTATGACTAATATGTTCAGGGCAATAAAAGATGCTGAATTTCACCATAAAACTGGTATGTATTTTCCAAATATCAAATATAAACTCTAGTACTACAAA